TGTTGTTTCTGTCCAGCATTTGAGTTCATTATTGCAGTACTTGGTGTGCTTTCAAGTTGTTGTTGTTGTCCAGTCATATTGCTTACAGTAATGTCCTGTTGTTCTCTTGAATTTGATGAAAGGACTGCTGCTCTTGATGTGTTCCCTATTTGCTGATGCTGTTGGAGTGTAGTGTTAGCATTCTGTAGTTGTTGTCCAGATTCAAAGCTAGCCAAATATTCCTGTTGCCTCTGTTGTATTATAGCTGGTTTGGTTGTCACCACATATTGCTGGCCAGATTCAGTAACAACTCCAGCTACATTGTTCCGAGCGTTCGCATCATTTTGTTGCATTGCATCCAAAAGTTGTCTCTCCTCTACTGAAAAAGCTGTGGAGGTTGTCACAAGTTGCTGCTGTCCAGTATTTCTGTTGCTCCTCGATCATCAGTAGGAATTGTAGCTGAGGGGTTTGGATTAAGCTGCTTCTGCTCTACATCAAGGATTGGGTTGGTTTCAACTATTTGCTGCTGTCCAGTTATCACTGCTGCTGTTGTTCGATCAGTAGCAACTGGAACTATCTGCTTTGTTTGTGTTGCTGCAGCTTGCTTTGAGCTTCCAGCTGGAGAATTTCTGGGTAGAAAAACTGGAGCATAAACGTTCAGTTTGCTTTTGGAAGTTGCTGCTCCTTCAGGTTTTGAAAATGGTGTTGAGTCAATCTCTTCACCTGCACTATAATGATCTTCTTCCTTGTCTGCCTCTTCCGATGCGTATCCAATAAAGCCATCTCCCCAATGTTCTTCATCATCCTCCTCACGCTGGTCACGCCAAAACTTGTAATTAATAGTCGTTTCCCTCACCTTGGCTTGTATAACATCATTATTGTTTCCAGTTGCTAGCATTAACTGTCCAGATTCACCCTCAAACTCCCCAAAGGATTCCACTGATTTAGAGGGAACATCAAATACGGAGGTATTCAAGGTGACCAAGGGTAGACTTCAACATCATTTCATTCTATGCATCTTTAATTATTTGTTCTACATTAGGGTTGGAGAAATGTAGAGTAGGTGCATTGGAAATGTGTGCTTGAATACCAATTAGTTCAGCCCCCAACCTGTTCTTTGAATCCTTATGTCGAACACCCAACTTTTTTCCAAAATCAACACTGCCTGAGCCTTCTTGTTCATTATTGGCTATTGGAACAATTTGTTTGCACGTCCCACTTTCATTTACTCCCGTTGCAACAGTTTTTGAATCTCCAGCAGCAACAAGAATTTCGAATGAATTTGAGCTGGAGCCATTGCCGAGGTCATTTCGTCGAAAATCTTGGGTCTGATTTTTTTGTGAAACCTCCTTCTTTGAAGGGGATTTTCTACCTGTTACGACCTTCCAAACTCCCTCCTTTTTGTTCATATATCCTCTCTTACTATCCTCAAACACCTTCCTAGTACTATTTTCCATTAACAAACTCTTTTTCCCAGTTTTGTTATTCCCTAAAATCTGGGCAGCTACTGCTCTGTCAGAGATTTGCCCTGTATATTTTTTTTGTTGCTCACCTTCAGTATTATTTTGTGAATTAGCCTTAACCCCATCTTTAACACCTGAAGGAATTGATCCCATATCCATATTACCAGTTCCTGCATCATGCTGATCTCCAGCTGCTCTATCAATTGCTTCATTCACATGAGGTGCATTACCTATAGCTCGATCTGCAGCAGTTTTCAATGCACCAGCAGTAGCTAGATACATTCGTGCAAATATTGTAGAGGCAGGGATATCTCTAGAGGGTTTAGGAGGTCCCTTGTCCAACTTCAGCACCTCTTCTATAGGATTTTCCTTTGCCTCTTGATCCCTCGGTTGCACAGCTCTCTTGGCATTAAGGTAATCCCTGGCATCACCAGCTAATTTGTCAAGACTGCCCAAGCCTTCCACTACATCTCCTCGAGCAGCAGTTTCCTTACCATCCTCGATCCTCCTACGACATGAGTTTTCATCATGCCCTTGGTGCTTATAACAAGTACAGTATTCTGGTAGATTGTCAAACACTATCTGCTGATAATGTTCCACAATTCTCCCAGAATTCTTATCAACGATATTTATTCGAACTCTCTTAGGATGTTTGTTTAATAAATTAATCAAGACTTTAACCCTTGCTGTACTTGGTCTTGTTCGATCTTGAGTCGCTTTATCAATTGCAAGAGGTTTCCCTACTGCTGAAGCTATAGACAATAAAGATTTCTTTGCGAAAAAATTTGCAGGCAAATCAGGCAAAGAAATCCATGCCACAGCTCTTGAAGTTTTTTCACGAGGATTGAATCCTAACGTCCATGAAAACGTCCTAAAGAAAAATTCATCTCCCTTCGCCTTTACATACCCAGTAGATCTTGACAAAACTTGAACATAATCTTCAAAGAGATCAAAACGTACCAAGATATGACGAAATTCTAGTTGTCCAACGTTGCAATTACCTTTGACGTCGAATTGTTTCGGAATTAACTGTCGTAACTCTTGAATATCTGGTTTGCCATATGAAAATTTGAGAATTACTGCCTGATGCAGTCCTTCTTCGATGGTGAAAATGTTCACCTATTCGACTGTGAATTCTACAGTTGGTTCTCCATGAACCATATGGACAGGAGTTAACTCCAGTTTTGACAAGGTTGCAGCAGATTTCGTTTTTTGAATCAGCGCAACATAGGATTGTTTTAGCATCACATTTGGATTTGTTTCATTAGTATTTTGATTTGTCTCTCCCACAGCCAAAGGCTGGGGAGAGCTCGCAGCATCCATGGCTGCCTCAATTCTCGTCAAAACATCTGATGAAAAACTGAATTTCTGGAAATTCTCGATGCTATAGTGCACGCGAAAAAAGAAATTAAGATCTAGAACAATTGGCTATGACTTTGACTATGAAACCAATTGGGGATTGTGCGCAAAGAGTAGGAGGTTCTTTTGACACCAATCTTGTAATTTTCCACCGCCGGACGCCGGAGTTATGGTCCGGTGAATAGTGACGGACATTATTAAATACTCAGGGTGGAAATAGGTCGGGTTGATTTAGATTTTTTAATTATCAAACCAAATTAATGGTACTAATTTTTTTTTAAGAAACTAACGTAATAATATGGGATGAGTTATATAATTGTACTAAAATATTCAATAACAAAGATAATAAAATCGCATAAATTATAAATATTGCTAATTAATAAGCCACAATAAAAATAAAATAAACATAATCTAAAAGTACTATATCAGTCATGCTAAAATAAGTACGTCTAATAAGATATGGATTTTTATTATAAACCAAAGCAAAATTAAAAATATATATCCAACATTATTATCATTTATAGTGCTGAATTGAATTTATTTTGTTAGCATCAATATTGATTTGAGTTACTACTACATTTATGGGCTATAAAAATTATTGGACCATTCAAGAATGTTAAGTCCAAGCTTGAAATAATACATTAAAAGATAAAATTGTGAAAAGTTTAAGAAATATTTATAAATTATATTACAATATATATTTATGTATAAAATATTTTTTTAATTTTTTTGGGTCTATTGGAAACAACCTCTCTACCTCTCCAAGTAGGGGTAAAGTTTGCGTACACACTACCTTCCCCAAACCCCACTCATGGGATTATACTAGGTATGTTGTTGTATAAAATATTTTTTAAAATTGTATAAATCTAATGTCGGATTGGTTTGGTTTTGATTTGACTTTCTTTAGTTAAAACCAAACCAAATCAATTATGGTCGGGGTTTTGTTTTTCAATACTAAACCAAAGCAAACAAAACCACATCGGATTTTCTTTGCCGATTTGACTCGGATTATCAGTTTTTTTGGTACACCCATACTCCTAGTATATGTTAATTAAACTGTCTAAAATTAATCAGCCAATTTAAATTCTTAGCTCATGCATATTCTGGTAAATATATAAGTCTCTGTAATTCTAACCAAAAGATTAGGTAAAAAGGGACATAATATACTCTCAAACTTCTTAATGTATGTGAGCCGTACCTATGAGGACGTGAGCACATAATAATTCCCGGGTAATTAATTCTTCTTATTATACCATGTAAATATTTCTTAAAATTTCAATTTACGCATTAAAAATTCTTATTACTTAAGTATGAACTAAATAAAAATCATAAAATAGGAGATAGATGCAATTTGCGCATGGTCATAGTCTTTAGAGACAAATATTGCTTTTCTAATCTTATATTATTGTCTGAACACGTTATTATCAATTAAAAAAAACACAAAAAGGCTGGCAACTTTTTTTATTTTCATTTTTTCTAGTTTCTAGTCCTACACTTCGGTATATCCGTGATTATTGACGGGACACACGGAATTTTTGTGCGTTTCCGTAATTTTTATTTATTTTGGACAACCTTACAACTGCCTTTCATGTTTTGGTTTGGTCATACAATTGATGTAAGTCAAATAAAACATGGGAAGCTTCTTCCTTCTTTCCCTTTAGCTATTGGTGTCTTTAATTAATTTCTGTTCTTTTTTAATTTTCTTGGGCATTTCAATATGAAGTGGGAAAAAAAACTGTATGAGAATTTCACCTTTTGGTTATAAGTATAGCACCTTCTTGTAATTCAGCATTTATAAACTTTAAATTTACTTCGATTTTGGTTTTTCTGCTGTTGGGTGACATAATATAGATACTAAGTAACAATTATGACAATTTGCATAAATAAAATTATTCCGTTATAAGCAGTTTACTTATTTAAATGGTCACGAAATTCAACATAATTATTAAGTCTAACTCTTTTGATAATCTGTTTTCTCATCTACAGATCCTATATATAGTCACGGATCGATCAACTGAGTAATACAAGCCATATAAAATTCTCAATGAAATGTTGTTTGGGACAGTCTATTGTGATGTATGGGTTTCTTACGACTTCCCTGAGTGGACTGAAGGACTAAAATTTGCTAATGATCCAAAGTGTTTTTTGCACAAAGTTTTTAAGAAGTTAAAAAAAATAGCTTCTCCCAGAAGTACTTTTATGAAAAGCAATGTTGAGAAAAATGCAACCGTGGGAAAACATTAGGTTTGTTGGAAAGCACTGTCGAGAGTCTATCGGAAACAACTTCTTTATCTTTATAAGGTAGGGGTAATGTCTGCATACATACTACCCTCTGTATACCCCATTTATAAGAAAACACTGAGTTTGTTGTTGTTGTTTGATGTTTACTGTTGAGAAAAATACAATTAGAAATAAATTTTAAAAACTTGACCAAACACTAATTGCTATTTAAAAGTGATTTTTAAATTAATTAGCTAGCACAAACTGTTTCTTCCCAAAAATACTTTTTTTTGAAAAATAATTTTAAAAAAGCACTCTTCAAATAAACTGATTTTAGAAACTTGACCAACGACCTATTAGTTAAAATTGGCCTTACTTTCGTGTTAGTACAAAATGGCAGATGAATTACTATTTTGGCCTGATGAGGTCAACAACTAATTATTATAGGGTAATCTAATAGTGTATATGCTTCCAAAAATAATAGCCAAACAATATATATATTTTCTATAAACTATATTTATATATTGTCTATAAACTATATATTTTTTTTATTTACCGGTCAAATGTATTAAACGCCCTTAATTATATTTGTGACAGTGACCAATGCTATGGACCAATTTAGGATTCTTAACGAGGAAAACGACATGTATAAATTCTCTGAGTGTGTTAATTGTAATTGGTAACTTTAAACCATCTGTTATAGTACATAATTGGTGACTGGAATATGAATACCAAAGCAAAATACATCCCTAATTGTTACGGCCCAATTTAGGATCATGACCGGCGCTTGAGAGTAACTGCCCCCAAGTAAGCCTTATCGATATTTTACAGAAAATCAGACAAAGTTTTCCCTTATTTAGGACTATCCAAAAATTTTCCTTTCTCATAAACAAATAACAACCAACCCATATTCACCTAAATCAATCACAATATTCACCAACTAACAAAAAATGAGTCTTCACCAAATTACCAACCTTATCAACATAATAATACTAAACTCATCTCAAAAATACGGAAAGAAGTACAATACTAGTAACTAGTCCAATATAACGAATGAATGCCCATGACACTTATAAAAATGACTATATAGCGACTCTAAGAGTTCATAAGAAAAGACGATAACAAATAAATAAACTCTTTGCCTACACGAACAAGCACAGGGCTCACCAGGAACTATCAAATCGTGTATTCTAATAAACAAAATTCTCGCTCGCGTCAACTGCTGTCTCTGTAAAAAAAAAAGTTGAGAGTGAGTCGCTAGCTCAGTGAGTAATAATTCTTAACCACAACCATTTTTAATTGGGGACAAGTTAAAAGCATGCCTGTTTAATAATAATCAGAAACTATCATAAAAATAAGATGCCCTCTCAAAAACGGTAAATATAATCAGTCTATTCATATACTTCCTGTGACAGAAATCAATTTAACAAATCGATAATAAACACTGTAGACACTGTCTCATAGAAAATCTTTATGTTTGGGAGGTTTCCAAGAAAGGATCATATAATCTGTATCACTGTGTGGGCCCCTTCGTAAAAGGAGTCAAATAAAACTTGTAGGTCCCTACTCGAGGGAAAATTGTAACTGTATGTTAGTTCTACCTTCCCACTAGCGCGGGCTATAACTGTAATCTGTAATCTGTATGTACAAGGTGCATCAGGTCTAACGCACCCGCCGTTAGCTACGTGATCCTTCAAAATCTCCTCTCATTTATATTTTTTCTCGTAACTAGTAAATATTCATATGAAAGCATTTTCAAAATGGTACAGGGCATTTCAATTCTTATCAAATCATGCAATCCAATTTCGGTAACGGTAATCATATCTCAAATCATAGTAAAACATGTCTAGTAACAGCGAGAACATATTAAATAATCGTAAACATCTCAAGTATACTATTCAGTACGATATCAAGTAAAGGACTTGTCCCACATGCAATTTCAAACATTCGGTAACACATTTATTTTCAAAATAATGTATAAACCATGCAAGTTATGAAAATACAAATTGCGGTACGATTATTACTCACAGTATTCGTGTCAAATACCAAACTCGCCACCTCGAGCGATCTGTACAACTTCCTCCGATCAATCTATAATCATGTCATATCAATCTCGTGTCAATTTTCTAGTTTAAACTAATTCATAACAAATTTAAAATATATTAACCCTCAGAGGTTCATGTTTGACCATAATTGCTGAATTGTGTATACCCATACTATGAGTAATTCAATTAGTCCATAATCAATAACTTTTTAGCGTATCCATATAGTATATCTGCTTAATTCATGAAAAGGCTTATGGATTTCTCTCAGTTTCCTAACCTCCTCTTCTAACTCAGAATCAAATCTCACATTATATTTACTTAGTCTCGCGAGGAATCATATATATAAATTACTATTATTTCAGAAAGAAGGAAAATATATGTAATTACCTGGGGCTTATCGTTGAGATAAGATTATATGCCAATGGTTTGAATGGAAACAGTATTTTGTACGAGGCAACACCAAAAAACTTTTTCCCCTTTTCGTTTTTTTTCTTTTCCGTTGAGTGTTAGCCAAAAGGGGATGTCCTCTTATTTTTCAACCCCCCTTTTTTGCTTTGTCTTAGCCGCAGCTTGTTGCATTCCCCCTTTTCCCTTTTCTTTTAGTTCCAGTGGGCTTTGCTCCTTCTTTTAATTTGACTAGGTTTCTTCTTTTTGTTTTGTTTTATTAGTTTTTTTCCCTTTTTTTCTTTCTTTGGACTTAAATTATTTTCTAAATGTCCAATATGTCCTCACTTAAAATATTGGGGTATTACATCCTTCCCACCTTATGAAATTTGATCCCCGAATTTAACTCTAGTACGTACCTGTAGACTGAAATAAATGGGTATACTTCGTTTGCATATCTTTTTCTACTTCCCAAGTAGCTTCTTCAATGGTATGATTCCTCCATAAAACTTTAACGAACACAATTTGTTTTGACCACAATTTTCTTACTTTTCTATCAACAATAACTACTGACTCCTCGTATAATAAGTTTCCATTTAACTCTATAATCGGTACTTCAATCACATGATAGGAGTCTTGCTCCACATTTTCTTAGCACAAAAACATAAAATACTTGATTTATGAAAGACAATTCGGGAGGAAGTGCCAAACAATATGCCACGACTCACACTTGGTCTAGTATTTCGTACGACCCTTTAAACCTCGGGCTCAACTTACCTCTTTTTTTTTTAATCACATTACACCTTTCATAGGGAAAACTCGTAGGGACACTCTACCCCAATTGTAAAAACTAAGTCCATTCTCCTCTGATCCGCATAAAACTTTTGCCTATTATGAGCTATGAGAAATCTGATCACTGGACCTTTTCAATAGCTTCTTGTACTAAGTGAGGTCCTAATAAGTTAGTCTCATTGGTTTCAAATCATCCGATAGGAGAACAACATCATATACTATACAAGGCTTCATATGATGCCACCTAAATACTAGACTAAAAGCCATCATTGTAGGCAAATTCAGCTATAGATATATAAGAGTACAAGCTATCTCCAAACTTAAAATGTAAACTATCTACATATACTTCAAGATTTGCATAGTACGTTCAGACTGACCGCTTGTCGGCTGATAAAATAGGGTACTAAGATCTATCTACTCATGTAACCAATGTTTCTTGGAAAGATCGTCAAAATCATGTAGTAAATTATGATCTTCTATCAGAAATGATGGGCAATAGACCCTGTATAGTTCGATAATTTTCCATTCATGTATATTTGAGTATATTTATCCTTAGTGTGTAAAGTTTTGACTGGTAAAAGTGTGCATACCATGTAAGCCAATTTCAATTACCCACATATAATTATAACTTCTAATTGTTTAAGGTTGTTTTGTCATAAAATTCACTTTGATTCTATTTTATTCACTTTGGAATCTCGAGTTGTTGTAGCGTGCATGCGAGTCACAAATGCTGACATGCTAACAAGTTTAAACTTTTAGAAACAAGGTTAAGTTAATGTTCCCCCTTTCTTTTTGTACAAATATAATTTTCTTCTAGTCATGGTACATTTTACTAGACTCCGGTTGTACAACGTATCTAGGATTATGAACTCTTCAAGAATAACTCGTCTTAACACATCTACATCTAGTACACATAATTAGTCACCCAGTCGAGAATACAATTTCTGTCAATAGTTATATCATTCTTTTACTAGCTAGAACCTCATCTCGACATTTACATAATCGCTCATCTATATATTTAGTGGCATTTATGCATTTTGCTAATGAAGACTTTAATTGATCACAAGCCAACAATGCCTCTGAAATTTTTCACACTAAATCTGACACTTGTACCATTTAGTTTATGCACATTCTTAGCCAAAAGTCTCGCTATAGGAGCTACATGTGCTGAACTACCCCACAATTTTTATTTTTTTTACCTAATGCGTTGGCCACAACAATGGCATTTCCGAGATGATATAGAATAGTGCAATAATCATAGTAATTAAATAGTTTTATCTATCTACCTTGCTAAAAATTCAAATGTCTCTGCTAGAAGGCGTATTTCAGTCTCTTGTGGTCTATAAAATCTCGCAAGTTTCAGGGTACAAGTAGTGTCTCTAAATCTTCAAAGAAATACAATTACGGAAATCTTCAAATCATATATGGGATTGTACCTCTTTAGCTGTGTTGAAGCATAAGCTATCACATGATCAGTCTACATAAGAACATATCCTAATCTGACATTCGAAGCATTACATAATACTGTAAATCCTCTAGAATATGATGGTAAGGCTAATATTGTTAGTGGTCAAGCATGTCTTGAGCTTCGAAAAGCTCTGGTCACATTTTTTCGTCCATTGAAACTTTGATGTTTTTTTTTCTATGTTAACTTGGTAAATGGCGCCGCTACTATAAATAATTCTATAGAAATATCTTGTAGTAGCCTCCCTAGCCCAAGAGGTTATGAATCTCCATAGAAATAGTTGATCCTTGCCACCTTTTAACTACTTCTATCCTATTGGGATCTACCGTACTCACATCCTTAGTTACAATATGCCCGAGGAATGCCACTGAGTCTAGCCAAAATTCATGCTTCGAGAACTTGGTAAAAAGCTGATTTTCTCCAGCGTCTTTAACACATTTTTCAAGTGATCCTCATGTTCTTCCTGGTTACGAGAATATACAAGAATATCGCTTTTAAGAACTATGAAATTTTCTTTTTCCTCCAAAAAGCCAACTTGAAAACCTTATCCATTATGTACATCAATATAGCTGGAGCATTGACTAGTCTAAAATGTATCACAAGTAACTCTTAATGTATGTACCGAGTTCTACAGGCGGACATAAAAATATATTCCTTTCTTATTCTAAGCTGATGATAGCCAGATTGAAGATCAATGGCTTTTTTGTAACAGATCAAACAAGCCATCTATACGAGACAATGAATATTTATTATATGTTTATGCCTTGTTAAGAGTATGTAGTTTATGCACAACTTTCTTTTTTTTGGTCTCGTCTTTCTTTTTCGCAAACAGTATTGGCGCACCCCATGAATATATACTTGATTTGATAAAATTCTTATCAGTAGGTCTTGCAACTATTCCTTTATCTCTATCTAGCTCCACTGGTTTTATACAATAGGGGGTTTCGATATGGGTTGCATGTTAGGTTTCAAATCGATACCAAAGGCTATTCTCGTATTAGCTAGTCCTGGTAAATTCTCAAAAATATATCAAAGAATTTTCTAGCTATTGGTACCTTTTTCCGAGTTAGGTGTCTTGTCTCTTTATGTATCTTATCATAGCTAGGACCCAACAATTTTTCTTTAGTAACATTGAGCCTTGATACATGATATAACCTTATTTATTTTTGGAAATTGTTCTCCTCTTAGGACAAAATTGGGTTAGTTCAGTATTTCAAACTCAACTTCCTTTTCATGTAATCGAGGGTGGCATGGCAAGAAGATAACCAATCCATTTCAAGTAGCCCATATTACTAATATCAAGTCGACTAAGATATCCCTATGTTCAACTTAAATTTGGCAAGCTCGTTAAATATATTCAGTTAACTTAAATCCTCCCACATGAGTAAAAACCCAAAGGGATCATTCAACATCTCATAGTCCATATTTCCAATTATTTGACCCCCTCTAAAATGCTCACCTAATGAATTCCCCAATTTGTGCTTCCCTCATAAATTTTTTGTTGCATATCTATCACACCCATGTTTTCAATCTTTTAGCAAGCTCAATTACCATAAAATAGATCATACTCTTCGGATATGAGATTATTGCCTTATTTAAAAAGTTAATCACCCCTTAGACAATTCCTTAAACTTTAGATAACGTGTATTTAGCAAGCTGAGGAAGTCTAATGACATATATCAGTACTTCTATTATGTTAACCAATTTCTTACCTAGTAGATTCACGCTTTTGGCTTACATGAAGGAAGCGATTCATAAATAGTTTAGAAAACTCATTCCCAAGTAAAATGTGTTGCTCCTATCGATGTTCCTAAATAATACGATATTATACCACTAATTGGCTAGTTCTCCGGTCTGTAAACTCTACCTAAACAGACCTTTTGCTAGTATATTCTAGAGCCCATAACGCTAAAAAAAATCCTTAAATTATCAGAGGATCCTCCAAACTATCAGAAATGTTAAACTTGGCAGTTTCAACTTTAGGAACTTTATTAAGCATACATCTTTATTTTTTATAATCTTTACCAATTTAGGTGTCTAAGGCCTCTAAAGCTTCAGTTTCTTTCCATCCTTCTCTTATTTATCCATTATATCCATTACATTACGTGATGGTAAGTAACTTGTGATGACTCTATTCAACTGTTATAATAGTGAACTAGTGTTATTTTTTAAAATGTAGTCTATTACACATATTAGGAGTATGAAAGCCCCTTGTTGCGGTACAATAGCCCTTTTTATTGGTCTTTCTATTAGTTCTGTCACTTTTCTTTGCTCGGAGATGATTAATTGTTCACCGGCAATACATGTGTCTTTGAACCTTTAGCCAAATTCTATTATTGGATGATTGGTCCTAGCCAAATCGGAACAAGATAAAAGGTGACATATTGAGTTATCTGGCACTAATCCAACACACGTAAGGAGGAATAAGAAGAAAAATAAGACACACCCTATCACGCCTTCGCAGAATCACGATTATGGGAATGGCTGGCTACATAACCATAATTGAGATTCTACTACCGACATGTGCTCCATTAGTCACAAGAATAACCTAGGGCTCTGTTACCAACTTTGTCACGGCCCAATTTAGGATCATGATCGGCGCTTGAGAGCAACTGCCCCCAAGTAAGCCTCATCGGTATTTTACAGAAAATTGGACGAAGTTTTCCCTTATTTAGGACTATCCAAAAAATTTTCTTTTTCATAAACAAATAACAACCAACCCATATTCACTTAAATCAATCATAATATTTACCAACTAACCAAAAATGAGTCTTCACCAATATTACCAACCTTATTAACATAATAATACTAAACTCATATCAAAAATACGGAAAGAAGTACAATACTAGTAACTAGTCCAATATAACGAATGAATGCCCATGACACTAATAAAAATGACTATGGAGCGACTCTAAGAGTCCATGAGAAAAGACGATAACAAATAAATAAACTCTTTGCCCACGCGAACAAGTACGGGGCTCACCAGGAACTATCAAATTGTGTATTCTAATTAACAAAATTCTCGTTCGCGTCGACTGCTGTCTCTGTAAAAAAAAAAAAAGCGGGGAGTAAGTCGCTAGCTCAATGAGTAATAATTCTTAACCACAACCGTTTTTAATTGGGGACAAGTCAGAAAGCATGCCTATTTAATAATAATCAGAAACTATCATAAAAATAAAATTGCCCTCTCAAAAACGGTAAATATAATCAGTCTATTCATGTACTTCCTGTGACAGGAATCAATTTAACAAATCGATAATAAACACGGTAGACACTGTTTCATAGAAAAAAAATTTGTTTGGGAGGTTTCCAAGAAATGATCATGTAATCTGTATCACCGTGTGAGCCCCTTCGTAAAAGGAGTCAAACAAAACGCCCTTAATTATATTTGTGACAGTGACCAATGCTATGGACCAATTTAGGATTCTTAACGGGGAAAACGACATGTATAAATTCTCTGAGTGTGTTAATTGTAATTGGTAACTTTAAACCATCTGTTATAGTACATAATTAGTGACTGGAATATGAATACTAAACCAAAATACATCCCTAATAAGCAATAAAGAATGGGGTTGAATTAGTAAAACAATTGGAAATGATTAGCAGCAAGAAAAAGATGACGAGAAGTCAGTCTTCTTCCTCTTCAGCTTCCTGGTGTCTTGATAGAACTATTATGTTCTTATGGCTCTACCCCTGGCCTTGCCACAGTGCAAAGCATTCTTTGGAATAGGATATTCGTCGCGATATGATTGAACTGGTGTATATACTCGCAGATAAAATTGTTGCCCGAGGTATTGCCTTGCCCAGAATTGAGTCCTCAGGTTCCACATTCCTACATTATCCAGGGGTATATATATTGCTGTCCATGATCTTGGATAAACCTGTCAAAGCCAATACCAAAATTCACCAGGCATCACATTTTGTACTTCATATTCAACAGTAGCAAAATGACATTGGGTAATAAGTTCATCATTAAATTCTAACCTGTGTGGTACAACGTGAAACTGCGTCGATAAGGTTATATTGTTTTTTACTCTCAGGACTCCATCTACCTTTATCCATTCTGTGAAAAATTAAAAAAACATCATTATTTAACTAAGTAATTAAAGCATGTGGCTTTTTATGAATAGAATGAGATGTTAAGGAGTAATTACCCGACGACAAAGAAAGAGTAACCATCAAGATGCCAGCTTTGCATAATGTTCTCTCTGTTCTCAAAAACAATCTCCACAAATGCTCTGTAGTCTGCTCCCATAACTGCCGTGTCAAGGTGTATGTGTCGACCTGTAGGCTGATCAGCGATGCTTCCAACTTCGAATACTCCTGTGATATTGTAATAGTCTGCTAGCTTAAGCGGCGTATCAGCAGGAATGAAGGACACGCCATTAACTGCATATCTTTGTTTTCTATCAACTAAGCCAGCAGAATTTGCTAGTCTTATTGTTCTAGTGACATTGATTTGGCCATAATGGTAGGAGCCTTGGGGGTTTGGTCTTGGCCCACTGGCTGTAAGATTTGTCCTGGAAATTATAGAAGAATCCGTCTCATATTGTACTTCTATGTCAAGAATAAAGCAAATACACGCATTATTGAAACAATGTTGAAGTGCATGATCGTCTCATCTAAAAGTTTAAGTTCTTCGAGAGAACTTTGTATTACTTCATTAAGCTTGTAGATGAGATGATCACATAATTCAATATGATATCAGAGCATGCAGAGATCCTGAGTTCAAATCTCACTTCCAAAAAAAATCAATGTGTGGCCCTTGAAAGAATGAGGTCCACACGCGTGGGCGTGTTGAGACATTCTATAGTTAAGTAATTAAACGTGTTTTTTGTCTAACAATTTAAGCTTTTAGTTGAGATAATCACACACCTTAATGCAAAATTCAAAAAAGGTATCATACCGGATAGAACGAGCCTGATTTAAGGACCAAGAAATGCCAGTGGTTGGCCCTGGAGGAGGTGGTCCTGAAACCGGTTTTCTCGAGTTGCTGTAGTGAAGAATGGCTGTGGAATTGAGAATTTGAGTAGTGAAGCGGCTGGAAATAGCAATGTAATAGTCTTGAGCAGGCTGATCTGCAGTGACCAACACTGAGTAGGACTGACCAACATGTACATCAAGAGAAGACAATGTAGTTTGTATTGTATGAGTTCCTTCAACTTCAACCAACTTCATTTTGTGTCCCTGAATTCTAAAGTTCAATGAATTCTGAAGTCCCACATTGGATATTCTTAACCTATATGTTTTCCCTGGAAAATTGCAAGGAATATTACCCATTTCAGGTTATTACTTGTAACAAATAGTTCTTGAAAACGAAACAGGTCCATTTTGTTATAATGTATACCTGATTCAACCGTGAATTTTGCACCGTCACGACCAAGGCCATTGATCTGAATGCCATCAGGGAATTTAAGCATCTTTCCACGGTCTAAAATTGTTTGTAATGCCTGGAAATCCAAAATCAACATCATAAGCAACAAAATAAACTCATTTTTTAGGAACCCGCCAAACTATTCCAAATTTAAACAGGTTATGTAGTAATTGGTCTTTTGACTTGACTCAACAAGCTGAACCCGAAATGACCTATCAAACTATCGTTTCAAAAACTCAAAATGTAACCCAAACTGAACATACAAAATAAAATATGGAGATTGAGAATTTTTGTAATTATGGAAAATTAAAGCTAAAAAAATTAGTCCTCACTTATTTTTTTCAAGAAACAAAATTAAAAGGATGGCAGGTTGAGTCATATTGGGCGGGTTGGATTAGCACCTAGTATTTGACTCATCTTAGCCAACCCATTTTGACACAACCAAATTTTGGATGGTTAAGTCATGACCCATTTATTGATTTTATGTATTTTTACAATTGACACGAATAAGTTTGATCTAACACGCACATTTGCCAGCTCTACTTGTGATAATTAATAAGTAATTCTGCTAAGAATGAGACTGAAATAACACGATGTTGGATTAATTACCTTGTGATTAGTTTTGTACCAATCTCCAATAAGAATGGTGAAATCTCCAGCAGGTTCAGGGAAAGGGACTGGAATTCTTGGCCTACTGAGAATCCTAATTCCTCCAAATCCACCAGCGGCTTTATGGAATTTGAGAGATGGAAAATAGAAGAAACTTCCTATTTGATCTTTCACTTGCATTATGTATGTGAAATTTTTCCCTGGAGGGATGGGACATGTTGTTCCATATACACCGTCTTCAAACGAATTTTTCCTTTGTTGGAGCCCATTCCTGCATTGTAAATTTCCAGTAATTTACACACTGTTAACATATTATCAGTGCTCTCTGCGGATACAAGTTTATGAATCTTGATTTAGTTATCAAGAAAAAAGACGGTCTAAAACATGTTTATTTATGTTGAATAATTTGACACATTTTATTATAATTGTCCTATTTTGACTTTCATTCTTGTCATCCCTTTATTACTCATTAATTAACTTCTCCCCTATTTTTTTTGGAAAAGTCAAATACAATTTTGTTAAGCATTTTGGTATGTCTAAGTTAAGCATTTTGGGAGTACTTTTTCTACTCATCCAAAAAAAAAAAAAAATTCATTTGGGATAATTGGATCAAATTAATTAACGTACCATACGAGCAACAAAACTAAAAAAATTCAGGTGAAGGGAGTTGAAGGAGAATGAAAATGACCCAACAATAAGCCAAAGAAAAAGAGGAAGTCACGTATTTAGATGAGATAGTTTGACTCGGCATGAAGTTTAAAAAAAAAAAAAAAACTTTTGAAACTTGTGGTCTTAAAAGTTTAATAGGTAAAAGCTTTGTGTAGCCATAATATTTGTGTGGTTATAAAAGCTTTTCATTAAGGGTAAAATGAAAAGTTTAAAGTTGAATTATTTCCAAATTTAGAAATGTGTCATTTATTTTGGAACAAACTAAAAAACAAAATATCTCATCTAATATGAAACGCAGAGAGTAGTAGATATTGAAGGAAAATTCGAGATAAACGGACAGATGAAAAGGTGGTTCTCTTTTGTTTCTTCATTTATGCTGTTGGTGTTTCGTCTTGGACTACTTTTCTAACAAACCACATCACTGAATGAATGATTTATATGTTTCATTTATTAGTTGCGTATTACTGGAACTAAGTCGTGGTCAAGTAGGGAATTCTTGAAAAAACAAAAGTTTATTTCATGCATGGTCAGAAGGTAACAAGTTTTTAACCATATATATACTGTGTAATACTATTACAGATGATAAAAAGGAGAGAAAAACGATGAACTACACACTCTTGTTTGACCAAAAAATATGGATCTTTAATTAAACCAATTAAATGTATATAATAAGGGGTTAAATCTAGTTAATAATAATTACTTTAGATTTGTAACCGATTAATGTGGATAATGTAAAGCAATCGATAAAAGAAGATTCAGTGCAAGGTGCATTCAATGTTTTAAGACCATTAATGAGGAGGGAATATAACGCAATAAATAACAATAAACGGCATTAGAGTAAATAAGGAGAATGTTTAACCTAATATAGAATGAGGTGTATATGATTTCTCCTTCTGACAATGATAAATAATAGACAAATATCAGAATATTGGGACCCTTCTCGTATCTGGTGGAAAAGGTATTGAATAATAGAAGATCGAATCTCTTTAGAAAGGTAATGTTTGTATTTTATCTAGAGAAAGTTGTTTTTCATAGAGTATTCTTATTAGATAATGTTACCTACCCCCAATAAGGGACATGCCCCCATTAACCCTAAAAGTGCAAGCACATAGAATATTTCTTTTAAAGATCCTGCTACTAAACTATGTGTTACTTAACCTACTCGGCGTTGAGTCCTATTGGTTACTAATCGACTTCGGCCAAATCACTTTTGATAATATCACTTCGTGTCGAACATCCTTAGACAGATTTTGACTCATACATGTACTAGGCTATATACTCATTATTAGAATGTAAGAAAGAAAATTTTTATCAGTTAAGTAAATGCATGCAAACAGACAAAAAAAAAACGAGATATACCAGGTAAGAAGAAATGGCTCAGGCAAGTCATTATGGACGTTAATGATAAGGTTGTCATTCGTAACGCTGATTATATCCGGACCCGGAAATTTTCCATTTATCAGAATTCCCTGTGCCCATCATCCAACATAAAACATTAGAATTTTGATAAAATAAATTAACGTTCGACGTACTAAACACATCCTGAATATATATATATATATATGTAGGTACCTGTTGGCGGACGCCAAGAGGATATATATCGCCATAACTGATTCTCCAGTCGAAGTATCTGTATGGATCTTCAGCAACTACTACTCTACAAACTGTCTGCATGTAGAGCGCTACAACCGCAAATAACCAACACCCTCTTCTTCCATTTTCCCATAGCAACCTCATTCTTAATTAACGAATAAATAAATAAATAAGTTAGTAGTATCTGATGGAGAAGAATTTTGATGTATGTATGTATATATATATTGGTATATTAGAATATGAAATGCACAGAGGGATAAGAGAGTTGTATATATAGGTAGGTGGAAGTGAATTGAAGGAAAAACAAAGGAAGCGTCGTAAAAGTATGAATAATTGTTGTTAGCAACAGAAAAACACGCATCCGTGACTCCGTGGTATATGCCAGCAGGTTGCCAATAGTGTGAATACTTATAATTAAGATAACTATACAAAAAAAGAGCCGTAAAAGGGAACTTTGTCATGCTGGTTTATATATGTAAAATTAAGATCCTACACCCTCCACTTGTGAATTTCATAGAACTATCCCCTAGTCTAAGTGCTAGTGGGACCAACTTCTCTAATATTTAGACTTATGACTTTGTCTAAAACTACTAATCCAAAATTCTTATGTGAAGTATAACCAAAAAATTATGTAAAAGATGAAAGGACAAAACATTCTCAAGCTTCTTTTTACCGATGAGGGTGTGACTGCGCAATAATTAAGTTTCGAGAAACTACAACTTGAAACGTCAATTTATGCGTTCATGAAGTCTTACTTCATTAATTTGTTTCACTAATCATGAATAAAATCACATATATGAACGTCGACTGCAAAAAGAAAATTTATTATTTAAATCGCACCTTAGTTATAAAAGATTGTTCTCGTATCCAGTAGAAGATAATTGCTTGCTTCTTTCTCTTTAGGAGTCCTTTTTCTTCGAGAGAGAGATGGTTAAGTTCTCGTTTTATTCTTCAATTTGTAGGTGAAAAAAAATGGGCTTAATATAATTTAGGACTTAAGAGTTCCTAAAAACATTAGAACTCCTTTATGTCTTTATGAAGTGACACAACTCTTCAGACATATGAGTTAGTTTACCAATAGATGTCTTCTCTCTCTATTATATGCTTATGTAATTATTATTATTATTATTATTATTATTATTATTATTATTATTAGCTTGCTAGATGTATAACCAAAAAAAAGAAGAAATCCTTTACATTATTTATACGAGTAAAAGTTAAACCCACATCCAAAAAAAGAAAAGTATAAAACCGCGACAGTGCGTTATCCTAAAGTGGAGCTTGAGTGACTTTGCATAATTACAAAATACATTCATATCTTTGAAGGAAATTTTTAGGACTGCGTCAAGCTAACTATTAATTAGGGAATTCATAAAATAGAGTAATTTATGGACACGTAACTTTCCATACAAATCAACATATAGCTGGCAACCTTATTTATTTATTTTTAATTTCATTATTTCTATATCCTGAGCGTGTTGAATTGTACTCGTAAATTTGCTTTATTTTAATTTTCTTTTAGGCTGGTTACTTCGGTGTATCCGTGATTATTGACGGGACACACGGAATTTTTGCGCCTCTGTAATTTTATATTTATTTTCAACAATACTACAACTGTTTTTCATGTTTGAGAAGTTGGGTTGGTATTCTATTCGTCATATATTCGTACATTAGAGTACTATTAATACATGGGAAGCTTCTCCCTTCCTCTCTTCTTCTTTTGCTATTGCTGCCTTTAATTTTTTGTTCTTTTTTTTGGTCCTTAGGCATTGTATATATAACACTTCTGAATTCTAATGATTCAATTTAACACTATGGTGAAGTGAAGTCGACTTCAATTCGAGCTGTTTTAGACTTTTGACTTTTTGGTTAAGTATAGCACTTTCTTGTAACTTAATATGTATAAACCTTAAATTTATTGTTGATATTTGTTTTTCCATGTTGAATTTTCTCGTTAATAAATGTGGAAGACATAATATAGGAAAAATAAAATTAACCCATTACTAACCATTTACAGTTCTAGTTGGTCATAAGATTCATTAAGTCACGGATGGATCAATAGCGACCAAGGCTGGTCGCTACTTGGTCAATAATTTCGTTAAACTGTTGACCGGACTGGTCAAACTTGCTTGGTCAAAGAAATACTCAGATTAGCGACTGGTCAAACTTCTCTTCCAAGAAAAACGTTCATGCAGAGTTCAGCATCCTTCTCTTCCAAGAAAATCGTTTTACCTTTAATTCTTTTTATTAGCATTTCCATACTTTTGTCACTCAAATCATTGTCTGAATGCGAATAAATATCACCAATCTCATTAAGCTTGTATGGATCAGATTTGGAAGAAAGTTGAGAATAAAACTTCCTTTCGTCTTTGTCATCATAGAGTCTTATGATCCCCGTTTTATGGGAACTGCCATGAGCAACGGACAACTTTCCATTACCATCAACCTTGTCACTCTCAATTAAACTTCTTTTCCGATCTTGGAAAATGAAGTAGAGAATTCCTCTATAACCTCTTCTTTTATCTACTTAGGAAATGTTAAATTCCTACCTACACCATCACTGTTTGAAATACATGTCATTGCCTTCTCATCATCACTGTCGCTAATGAGAATAATAATTGACCAAAGACACACCCTGTCAGGTACTGTATCCAAGCTATTCTCTGTATCCAAGTTCATCCCGAGTAATAGTACCACGAGGATAATCACCAAAGCCACAGACAGCTTTATGATGCCAATGAAGCAAGATGAGCTATTCAATGAGACTCGTATTGTAAAGAAGAAGAAAAAGACTGATCTAGAAAGGTGGGTCGAGGGTCGAGCCTCGACCTATACATGTAAGTTTTTTACTTTTCATTAAGTATTTTGATTTACTTTTATATAAATTTTGAAATACTAATTCAATATAAGTTTTCTTATAGATTCGCTTCACAGCTGATGTGGGGGAATTCATACGCAGTCAGCCACCTAATGAATCGGGCGAGGCAATCCAACTTTCGGACGAGGATGCTGAAAGAACACTCCTTGAGTACTTTATATACTTTGAACTAGACAATAGAACCAGTTTTCGAATGGGCTTGTAATAAGCGTTAACTTGGTTTTGTTAGCTTAATGTGTTAGTTCTAATAAACTTTATACTTTGTTGCTTTTTGTTGTTGTTGTTGTTGTTGTTGTTGTTTATTGTTGTTGTTGTTAGGATTTTTGGTAAGCTGGCAGGTGGTGTAGCTGCCAAAACAGACAGTTTTTGCCAAAAATATACCAAGAAAAGCGACCAACTTTGGTTTCTAGTTGGTCGCTTTTCACTTAAAAAAAATAATTTTCTGGGCAATAGCGACCAACCTTAGTCGCTATTTAACCCAGATTTCTCAAAAGCGACCAACTTTGGTTGCTATTTCATTTAAAAAAATAATTTTTGGAAATATGGCGACCAAAGTTGTTCGCTTATAATTTAAAAAAAATTAATTCTTGAAGTTTGCGACCAACCATGGTCGCTTATTTAAAAATTTTTTATAAAAATTAATAATAAAGCGATCAACTTTGGTCTCTATTTTCCAGATTTTAAAATATAATATTTTCTTTAAGGACCAAAGTTGGTCGCTTTTTTATGATTAATAATAAATAAAAAAAACGTAATTTACATGTGGAGACCAATGTTGGTCGCCAAAATTATATTATTAAAATAATATAGCGACCAACATTGGTCGCTATTTTCTTTACAGAAATATTTGGTCCTTTTACCTTAGAGACCAAAGTTGGTCGCTAATTAGTAACCAACTTTGGTCTCTAAGGTAAAGGGACTATCGACCAGGCCTTTTTGGTTGCTTTTTGGCCAATAAGCGACCAACTTTGGTCGCTTTGTGTGGTCACTTTTTTCGGATTTCTAGTAGTGTGAGTTATACATGCCGGAGAAAATTGAGAAGTTAACTTAAAAAGATGTCTGCCAGAAAAGTTAGCCGACTATAATTATGCATATTGACTAACAGTTGTAAGTATTTTGATCGAGCGATCAAATATAATAAAAAATAGCCACTATTTTACAACACATCATAATATACTGGAGATTGGAGCACCTGTGTATGAACTTCCAGCATATTATGCTGGACCAGTATATTACGCTGGAACTCCAGTATATTATGATGGAGTTCCAGTATAAATATACTGGAGCTCCATCATAATATACTGGAGTTCCAGCATAATATACTGGAACTCCAGTATGCTGGATTTCACATGTAAAAAATTTGAATTCCAGTATATTATTGTCATGCCCCGAACCTGGGCCTGGACGTAACACGACACTCGGTTCCTGACTACATGTGACCGAGCGAACCAACTGGCTGGCTGAATCAACATGTGGTATCATAACATACTAAATGCGGAAGATAAACTAACACATGCTGATATACTGAAAGTCTGGATGATATAAATCAAAGTGCGGAAATACTAATACAATTCTAAAACATATTTGTAGCCAACATAGCTTAATATGAACAGCCCGTGACTTTGTCTAACTGTTACTCTAGTCTATGAAGCCTCTAAAAAGTACTGAAAACACTGACTGTAACAAAAAAATACTGAAGACTGTAAGGTAATGAAAATACCCCGAAAGAACTGGGATCACCAAATAGGTGGTACGAGAATCCTAGCGCTCGGAATCATCAGCCTGTAAATCATTACCTGCATTGTGAAATGCAGGCCCCGGGTAAAAGGGACGTCAGTACATTTGAATTGTACTGGTATGTAAAGCAACTGAAAGAAAGAATTATAAATGCTGAAACTAAAATTAAGCTGATAACTGAGATTTGATAATTGATAATTGAAATGNACCCCGAAAGAACTGGGATCACCAAATAGGTGGTACGAGAATCCTAGCGCTCGGAATCATCAGCCTGTAAATCATTACCTGCATTGTGAAATGCAGGCCCCGGGTAAAAGGGACGTCAGTACATTTGAATTGTACTGGTATGTAAAGCAACTGAAAGAAAGAATTATA